CGCCGCGCAGCCTCTCTGGCAGGGCTCTTTCGAGCGCTTGGCCGCCGCGCGGCAGCGCCCCGGGCGCGGGCTGGAGAGGGTGCCACGTTTCCCCGCGCGGCACCTTCCCGGAGTCAGGGTGCGCCGCCCCGGGGCAGGAAGCGGCGGCTGGGAGCCAGCAGCGGTCCTCCTGGCCACAGCGAGGGGTTTCCAACGCTACGCGGACGGCGGCGGCTCGAGGGGTTTGGCTGTCTCTTCTGTAATTATCCTTCAACTTGAAATTATTTTCCCACATGAAATTATTTATAATGGACACATACCATTTCAGCTAGATTTATCCTGCCTCTCCACATTGCTTTTCCTACCTCCTCGTTGACAGGACAGCCGGACCCACTACTAGATCAAAAAGTTTAACTAGATGGCGTTGATTTTGTTGAATTTGTTACCATGCCAAAAAAGGGAGAGCGCAATCATTATGAAACAAAGAAATAGGTTGTGTGCCCATTATTAAACGTGTCAGGACTAGAATGTTTTAATCATTCTTTGGCAAAAATGGCACTTTTATATGATCTCCTAACCTTTAATGTCCACACCTCTTCTTCTGTTTCTCCTCCCGGTACAAAAGGAATAGTAAACCTGGAGAAATTTTTCCTGTATTAATTTTCCTTTTAGGAGATAAATCTACAACATTTGCCAAGCACTTTCTGTGTGCAAGTTACTGAGCAATGATAATTCTTTTATTTATTTATTTATTTATTTTAATGATAATTCTTTTAAACTGTCAACAATTGTACACTTTAAGATGATGTTATTAGGTTGAAGATTACATTTACTGTTAAATCAAGGAAGGAACTTTTATCAACCAAAGATAGTCCTAAAATAGAGTAAAGCAACTTGCTATTATTAGACTCCAAAATAAACAGAAAATTGCAAAACTATGCAAAACATACTTTCTCCTCATTCACCACCTGTAGTGCTAAGATTAATCACAATATTTCTGTTTGAACAAAAGATTAATCAAAACCATTTTGCTACACAATAACTAGAACTACTCAATAATTTTGATTATACTAGACTTAACCACTAAAACATTTATTTTTCTATTATTAGTAATAGTTTTCTAAAGGTTTGTTACACTATATTGTCATTTATTAAAATGCATTGGTTTTGGCTTTCTTTTGTCATTTGAGTGGTGTTTTAAAGGAGGTAAATATTTCATTCAAGGGATTTACAGATAAAGAGCACAAAGAAGAATGACATTACAGAAAATTCTGACATTAAAAAATTGGAAAACACTAAAATAAACTTCTCCCTGTTTTATAGCCCCATATCATAAACCAAGAATCAGAATTCTGAGGTTAGGTTTACATTTCCATTACATTTCTGTTATATCTCTCAATGAAAGCATGTGGGGGATACTTTGGTGTATGTGTGGGAGAGAGAGAGGTTAAAGACAGGATACAATGTCTACAAAGAAATCACTAGTGCCTTGCTATTTCAGAGGTCATAAAACTGACAAAAGGAACTATTTCTTATCTTTTACAGTATACCCCAGCTCACTGTCAGGTGTAAATATGTTTCAAGGCTAATTATGAGCAAAAACAAAAATGGTATCTGCATATAATGAAAGTGTATTAATCTTCAATCAACAAATAGTACTAAATGACTTTGAGGAGGTCCCCTTATGCCCTTGTAATTTAACTAGAGAGGTAGGACATTTTTCTTGGAAACACGAGAGATGGTAAAGTAGTACAGCCAAAGCTCAAACTAGAAGCAAAACGGCTGTACTGCCCCTTCATGATTTATTCTCCCTCCTTATCCCAACCACTGTCCTGACAGCCATGATGGAGAAGACTCTAAGCTTTTAGAAGTTGCACTGGTGCAGAGTTTGAGGGGCCTTGAAAAGCAGGGAGCCTCAGGGGCAAACTCTAGGCAGCTCTGGCCTACTGAAGTCGCTACCTCCCCCCCCCCGCACCACCCCCCATCCCCACTACCCTTTAGATTCCACTGTTTTCTCTCCATTTGCTGCACTATTGAAGTTCTCCCAATGAGAATCATTTGAATTCACAAGCTTTCCCTTTAAGTATGCAAATACCTTAAGGAGAGATAAGGGACTCTTGGTCATTCACAGATGATTGTAAATTAGGTCAATGGGTCATTTTCCTCCCAACAGCTAGCTGAGACTAACAAATTTAGAGATTTATTTATTCATTCAACACAGAGTGCCTAAGAGGTTCCAGGCATTGTTTTAGGCACTGAAGATGCAGTAGGGAACAAAACAAACCCAAATTCCTGCCTTCCTGAAGTTTACAGTCTAACAGATTGGGAGTTTTGATTCAGTGGTTAGACAAAATGGTAGTTTTGGAGTCTGAGCCCTTGGGGGATAGGGCAGGCCTGTGTTCCTTACAGCCAGAAGGCATTGGAAAGGTACTAGGGACCTGGAAGATGGACATAAAAGTATGGATTGGGTGCCTGAAGAAAGCAGTGGAGAAAAATACCAAAGACAACTTAACCTGGTACAAAAAGGTTTTCTCAGCCCCCTGAAATGAATGAAAAGTCTTCCAAGAACTGAAACTAAATATTACTAAGTAACCAATAGTTCAGCTACATCACTGTTTAGACAAATGAATAGTTGTCTCTGTTTGGAAACATAGCCATAATGTATCAATATATAATACTTCATGGAGGCAGGGGGAGGTGAGGGGGTTAATTTGCACATCCAAAGTAACTTCAGGGATGCCTAGCTGGCTCAGTGGATAGAGCATACTACTCTTTTTTTTTTTTCCTGAAAGATTTTGTTTTTTTTTAAGTAATCTCTACACCCAGCATGGGGTTCCAACTCAAATCCCAGAGATCAAGAGTTGTATTCTCTACCGACTAAGCCAGCCAGACCCCCTGAGCATACTGCTCTTGATCTTGGGGTCATGAGTTCAAGCCCCATGTTGGATGTAGAGACTACTTACAAACAAACAAGCAAAAAACTGAAAATTACCCAAATTCTAGGAACACCTCCTACTTAAAACTAGAGCCCTATCTGTTCTTCCAAATATCATGAACTTTAAGAAATTACAGATATTACACTAATTCCAGTGTTGAGGACATACTTCAATGCCTTTTTGGAGCTCATCTTTTGACAATGTGTTTGCAACCGATTTGCAAGTCATAGGAAACAACTCTCTTTAGGACCATATCTCTTTTTCTCCACTAAAACTATTATTCTACTTCATCATTTATCAAATTTCCATCCAAATGATTCTGGCAAGCTCCAAACAATATATTTTGCCTTTAAATGATAAAGATTTACTACCATTGAAAATATAAAGAAAGGGCACCTGTGTGGCTCAGTTGGTTAAGTGACTGCCTTCGGCTCAGGTCATGATCCTGGAGTCCCAGGATCGAGTCCCGCATCGGGTTCCCTGTCAACAGGGAGTCTGCTTCTCCCTCTGACCCTCTCCCCTCTCATGCTCTCTCTCTCTCTCATTCTCTCTCTCAAATAAATAAAATCTTTAAAAAAAGAAAATATAAAGAAAAACAAAGGTGCAGATATTTAAAGGGTTACAAATGCCGAAGGAAGCACCAAAAAGAAAACTTTAAAAAGCATTGCTTGCATCACTGGAATAACAGCATCTACGTTCCTCTGTCATTTTTTCATGAGGGAAAGAATCCAGTTGGATATGTAAGCTCACTCTCCATGTTCTACCCATAATGGAACTACTTGCTATGAGCTTTTGCTAGTCACTAGCAAGATTATTAAGGTCAAGATATCAGGTGAAAAGAAAGCCCCACTGTTGACTCCCAAAGATAGCATGTTTAGCTAGGGTTTAGCAAACATTGTATTGAATGCCTACTTTCTTTCAGCAAACATTTATTGAGTACCTAGCATGTGCCAGACTATTGGCTAGCTCCCTGTCCTCAAGGAGCTCATGGTTTACAGCAACGTAAAGGAAGAAGTGATTTTTGCTGCCTGAGAAAGCAGAGCAGGTTTCCTAGAAGAAGGGAGGTTCAAGCTGGGTCTCGAGTAAGCACAGGAATTAATCTGAACAAGGCGGGTGGGAGGCATTCCCGACAGACAACAAAGTGGTCCAGTGGTTTTAAAGCTTGGTGAGCACTTGTTATTGCAAGTGATTTTATACTGAGTGGAACATGGAGGGTGAGCCAATCTTCTTCCTCTTCAGTCTTCTCTGATCCTCCCAGGATGGGTTGGCTGTCCTTCTTTTGTTCTCCCAAGAGTGCCTATCTGCATCAGTACTGGTTTACAATGGATTATAATTAATTGCTATCTTATTCTGTCATTAGGTTGTGGGCTAGTTGGGGGCAAGGACCATGCCTTGTCTTTTAGCATCCCTCGTTGGCCTAGAGCCTTCCATATAGAAGGTGCTCAGTAAATGCTTACATACTTATATACATGTGGGGCGTGGGGAGGAGGTAGTAGATTAGACTGGAGAAGTAGATAGCCAAGGAGAGCTCTAGATGTCACCCCCAAACGTTTTGGTGTCACTGATGAGTCCAGCAAGAGAGTAACAAGTCAGACCTGTACTTAAAAAGATCTCTGTGAGAAGTTGCAGAATGTGGGAGACTAGACCTGAAGCAGGGAGAAAAGTGAGGTGGCCCCCATAAGACAAAAACAGGGAAGATATAGAAGCAATTATCAACTACTTCTTTGTACCCTTCAGACTCAAGAAGTTCCTAGATGCTTGTCACCTGGGCTGTCATCCCATAGGGAAGACAAGGCAGAACTGAAGAACCGCTCCTCCCTGTGGTGGAGGAAGGCAGTGCTCTTTCTGGAAGGAGCACTTATGGGGAGTGTGAAGGCAGTGGTTCCAGAGTGGCCCCGCCGCCAATCTGTAAAGAGCCACTTCGTCTCTTCTCTTCTCAGTTACCAGCTCCAATATTGGGTGACTTGTCATCACTGAACTTACCCTCAATAATACAGGGCCATACCTAAGTCTCTCATTGTCTCCATTTCTAGACTAACAAATGAAAATCCATAGTGCTAACTTAGTCAATTATAATTAGATTCTTTTATAAGACATTTAAAGTGGGAAAATATAGTGTTCTATTCAACAGTGATCAAGCACTTTCTCTGGGGGCTAGAAAAACAGAAATAAAGCAAACGCCTGCCCTAAAGGATTTGTCCAAATGTATCAGGCATGACACACATCGAAGTATGTCGTTACAATTCAAATGCGTACAATAGTGGTATTACTGGGTAGAGTGGTAGTGCAGAAGAAGGGACGACTGATTTTGCTTCTGCGCAGAGAGGCAGGGGAAGCTTTACAGAGGATGTGATATTTAAACTGGGTCTTCAAGGACTCTGCAGATGGCCGGGCTGGGGAGGTATACCAGGCAGGAAAACTGTCCAGGACATCTACTGGGCAGATGGCTAGTGTCAGCACTGCAAGTAATTTGGCGCAAGCACAGCATAAACAGGGACACGACAGGAAATGAGGTTGGAAATATAGGTGGAGCCAGGTTGGGGAGGGTTTTGTAGCCTATTCAGAAATCTTTATTCCATAGGTGGTGAGGAGCCACTAAAGGACTGTCAGCAGGAAAATGATCAGGACAAACATGGATGTATTGGCTGGGTGAGCCAATCCTCAGAGCAAGGAGACAATGAAGAGACATCGCCGATGGTCGAAGTACAACATGACAAAGCCCTTGACCAAGGCAGCATTCGAGGTGATGGAGATAAAGGATTAAATGCAAGAGATATTTAGGTGACATGTTTGATAAGATTTGGTGAATGACTGATAATTGGTAAGTGAATAAAAAGTAAAGGTGAAGATTCACTTCTAAGTGTCCTCCTTGAGTGGTAGCCAGTTGCATCATTAACCAAGATAAAGAATAAGGGGCAGGAGCAGTTTGTAGAACACAGTGCTTTGGGGTGGGAATTTGAGGTGATCTGTGGAATATTCAAGTGGGGATGCCCATCAAGTAAGATATGAGAATGTAGAAGACTGATCTGGTCTAGAAATGTAGGTGTAAGAATCATGAGGTATGAATGGTACTTAAATCCATTAGTGGGGCACCTGGGTGGCTCAGTCGTTAAGCGTCTGCCTTTGGCTCAGGTCATGATCCCGGGGTCCTGGGATCGAGCCCCACATCGGGCTCCCTGCTCAGCGGGAAGTCTGCTTCTCCCTCTCCCACTCCCCGTGCTTGTGTTCCCTCTCTCACTGTCAAATAACTACATAAAATCTTTTTAAAAAATCCGTTAGCATGGACGGCATTGTTTGGAAAGACATGCAACATGAGACAAAAACAGGCTAACAGGAATCTTTAAAACACCATGTTTTCTCAGTTATTTATTACTGTGTATCAAACCACCCCAAAAAGTAGTGGCTTAAAACAAAAATGTATTATTCATCTGGTGGATTGACTGGGGATTGGGCTCAGTTGGAAAACCTGGGGTAGATCTTTCTGTCTCTCTCACTCTCTCTCTCCCCTTGGTCTTTATCTTAGTCATCCAGATGACATGGCAGTCTCTGAGGAGTGTTCTAAGAAGGCAAGCCCCAAAACACAAGCACCTATCAAGCCTCTGCTGGCTTTGCGTTTACTGATGTTCTACTGGCCAAAGCAAGTCACAAGGTCAAGCCCAGAATCGATGTGACGGGAGAAGGAAAGTGGGAAATTCCGTGACCACCCTGAGGAGTAATTCACTGGGGAGCATTACTTATCCATGTGAACTGTTAGGAGACAGGCAGAAAAAAATAATAAAGGGAGACATCAAAAAAGAAGCCACTGAAGACAACTCATGAAGATCAATCTGAAAGGAAAAATGAGACCTCAAGAGAGGAGAGTTTCTAGAAGGAAAAGAGCAACAAGTCAAATGTCACAGAGGGAGCAAGAAGGAAAGGAATGAAAAGTGTTCATTGGATTTGGTCTTTGTTAACCTTTTCAGTTTCGAGTGTTGAGGGCAAAAGCTAGATTGCAGAGGGGTGAGAAATTTAATGGGAGCTGAGGAAGTGTAAGCAGTTGGTGTAGACTTCAGACTGTAGTAGTGTAGTCATGAAATGAAGAGAGATGGGATGGTAGCTAGAGGAGACCTCACATCAAAGAGAGGGTAGCAGGTTTAAAAAACAAACAAACAAACAAACAAACAAAACAAAACAAAAACAACCATCAGAATGATAAGCATCCCTGTAGAGTAGGAGACGGGAGCAGGAGGGGAGTGGGCAACCACATCAGGGAGTGAGGCTCATGGGGAAGATGTCATCAAGCCCTGGGTGGACGACAGGAAAAACACCTGTCTTTCTGGAACCCAAGAAAGGTGGGTAAAAATGGCAATAAGTTTGTAGGTTGGGGCAGGGAGAGATGACAGAAAGTTAAGCAGATTCATTTTATAGTAGCTTCTGTTTTTCTTATTAATTCAGTGGCTAATCATTTGCTGAGATCAAAATGTTCATGGATGGTCACGAGATTTGAGGAAAGAGTTTAAGTTTTGGAATAGTCCCTACAGGGAAGAAAGAAGCTGCAAAAAGCAAGTAAAAGGACTCTCATTGAGTCCTGAGATGAGATTTAGCAGCTCTAAGCTGTTACGCAACTTTCTGAAGTGACATTCACCCCTGGAGAAAAGGAATACAAGTGGTGGATTGCCAGGTTCACCCCGGGGGGGTCATTCTCTTTTATGGAGACCAAGAGGGATCACTGGCCACATAGCCAAAGTAGGGTCCCCCAGAGCCATGCCAGATCAGCTTGCGTTGTTACCTGGAGCCATGAAGTAGCCACAATCACGGTCTTCGTTTAAATGTAGGACATGAGTTGCATATAAAATAATGTGAGAGATTTCTGGCCATCTCAAATCCTTTTTTTGGGAATAGATATGTTCACGACAACAAAGAAATAACTAAGTATGTCTCCTCTTCCTTCTGTTTCATTAAGACTCTGGGTGGCTGTTTGGCCCATTTGGTTGAATTCCAATGTTAACCAGGCCAAAGCCTTGAGTGTTGTTTTTGTTCTGGTGACCTCAGGAGTGTCAATGTCAAACAGTGGGACATAACATTATCACTGCAAGTTCTTAGACAGTTCTAGGCTAAACTATGTCAAACTCAAAGATGTACTTTGAGATGTAAAATGAGAACAGGTCATAATTTAAGGTCACCTAATTCTGTATCTCATGTGTCAGATCTCATGATATGCCTACATTCTACTCTGGTTTAGATATTTGCCAATAATTATTGCTAGCACAGGATGCTCCAGGCTTCTTCCTCCTTGGTCAAAATATTCACAGTAGATAGAATATAAGATTTGGGTTTTGTGAATCGTGTACACACAACCTTTATAGATGAAGGATCAAAGGCTTGAGAGATTGCCCTACTGCGAAAGGCAAAGGTGGGATCGAAACCCAGACCTCCTAAACCCCTGCTTAGTGTTTTTTTCCCAAACAGAAATCTAATAATGGCTGAAAGACTACTTGCCTTTCCTGTGATCCACTGCGGACTGAACTCCTTTACATCCAACTGTTTGCCCTTTCTTCTGCTTTTTTATTTATTATTATTATTTTTTAAGATTTTATTTATTTATTTGACACAGAGAGAGAGAGAGAGAGCATGCACAAGCAAGGGGAATAGCAGACAGGGGAGAAGCAAGATCCCTGCCCAGCAAGGAGCCCAATGTGAGGCTCAATCCCAGGACCCCGGGATCATGACCTGAGCTGAAGGCAGCCGCTTAACCAACTGAGCCATCCAGGCGCCCCTCCTCTGCTTTTTTAAAGGGGGAAAAGTCACATTTGACAGACAAGTCTGTACCCTGTCACAGTATCTTGCCTTACGCTGCAGCTCTGGATAGGACAGACTTGAGAATTGGACAACCAGTGCCGGTTAATCCCTTCTCCTGGGTAGAATTGCTAACTACTCTCTGTCTAACTGCTCCACATTGAAATGTGGCGGTCATGGGGATGCGCATATGCAGCGCACCACTCGGATATGGGAGTGCTGGGCTCAGTACCAGAACCTAGGACAGTGTCTGGCATGTAGGAGGCCAGCAACGACAAATGCTCATGGAAAGAGGGTTACATTTAAGGTGCTGGGATGACTGGGCACAGAAAGACAAAACTAATTTTTAAAAGAGATTCTGTGTACTTGAATCTGAAAGGAGAAAACATTCCTAATTTTATCTTAATTTGTATTTTAACATAGTTAACTTCCTCCAAAGTAATTACTTTTTAATATGTTTCTAATGTGTTTATAATATGATTGAGCTGCCATACTGGGTCTTTTCATTTAGATAGCTAGCAAGAATTCATATTAACCCATCTCCTAAGCTCCTCTCTGGAGTTTCTCTGCAGTGTAAGCTGCTGTAAATTCAGTTCACAGGGTAGAGCTTCATGAGATCAACAAGACAGAAGCCAACTGGCCACAGAGGAGTACACCATCACATTCCTGGTCCCGTCCTAACAGTTCCATTGTGGGGCCCTCATAAACCACAGCCCTTGAATCACTTCGAAGTCACCTGGGTCTACAGTCGATTAAGTATAATTTCACATGTTTCACCAACAGCCTATTCATTTATTGCCTCTCAGGAAAAGAAAATGTCTCATTACCAGACCTGACTCAGCAAGGGTAAAATAGTACATGCAGGCTCAGAGATGGCACAGGTTGAGGCAGTGGCACAAGAGGGATTGAATTTTGGGGCGCCTGGGTGACTCAGTGGGTTGTGTCTGCCTATGGCTCAGGTCATGATCTCAGGGTTGTGAGATCAAGCCTGGCATCGGGCTCCACGCTGGGTGTGGAGCTTGATTAAGATTTTCACTCTTTGGGTCTATCCAACAAGAAGATCTAACAATTGTAAATATCTATGTCCCTAACATGGGAGTAGCCAATTATATATGCCAGTTCATAACAAAAGCAAAGAAACACATCAACAACAATACAATAATAGTAGGGGACTTTAACACCCCCCTCACTGAAATGGACAGATCATCTAAGCAAAAGATCAACAAGGAAATAAAGCCTTTAAATGACACCCTGGACCAAATGAACTTCACAGATATATTCAGAACATTCCATCCCAAAGCAACAGAATACACATTCTTCTCTAGTGCTCATGGAACATTCTCCAGAATAGATCACATCCTAGATCACAAATCAGGTCTCAACCGGTACCAAAAGATTGGGATCATTCCCTGCATATTTTCAGACCACAATGCTTTGAAACTAGAATTCACTCACAAGAGGAAAGTCAGAAAGAACTCAAATACATGGAGGCTAAAGAGCATCCTACTAAAGAATGAATGGGTCAACCAGGAAATTAAAGAAGAATTTTTTTTAAAGATTTTATTTATTTATTTATTTGAGAGAGAGAGAGCACGTGCACATGAGAGGGGGGAAGGTCAGAGGGAGAAGCAGACTCCCCGCCAAGCAGGGAGGCCGATGCGGGA